TTAAATGCATTAAATGGGTTTAGTTTTCACGGTTATTAATGTATGCAATTTCAGCAATAAAAATGCTAATTTTTCTAAATAGAAAACAAATTAGTTGTTTATTTTAAGAGACCTATCTTATTATCTCTTGTATATTTAGTATTGCTCTTTAATAAAGAAAAATAACTTCTTATCCGATTACTCGATTAATCGATGGAATAATCTGTAGAATACTCGATTACTAAAATAATCGATAGCTGCAGCCCTACTTCAGACGCACAATTACACCTCGCTGAGGCTCACTGGGTGCTTTTTCTCTCTTCTGTTTAGTGTGGCTGGTGCATCCGGAGCAAAGCGCAGCTGTGTGTAAGACATCCCGCCGCAGGAAAACAGCAGCGCAGATGGGCCTGCCCTACAATCAGAGCCGAGACGAGCAGTACACTACTGTTAAACCTGCTAGCACACAACCAAGACCTACTGCTCGCCCAAAACAAAACCATTTAGTGTTACCAAACATGATCAATTCAGTGCAACCAACGAAAATCACGGAGAATCCGGAGGCTGAAGATGCATTTTGAGGCAGTAGAAACCAAAAACTGTTATACTTGTCGCAAATATCAAACGGTAACACTTTAGCATAGGGACCAATTCTCACTATTAACTAGTTGCTTATTAGCATGCCTATTATTAACATATTAGCTGTGCATTAGTACTTATAAAGCACATATTCTGCATGACCATATTCTACATCCCTAAACACCTAAACTTCACAACTACCTTACTAACTATTAATAAGCAGCAAATTAGGAGTTAATCGAGGCAAAAGTCATAGTAATCGGACTTTAAATTAAAGCATGACCAGTCATAACACCCGTCATTTTCCACCAAGAAAACGGTTGAATAAGTGAATGAAGCTCTTCATATGAAAACATTGACAGTGCAGGTTTGTGTGCCGTCATTATGTTTCCCAAACAGAATATGCTTTTCTAAACACGAACCACTATTAAGCATATTTATTAATAGATAATGGCACATTCAAAACCCAAACTGTGGTTATGAATTATGCAAATGTATAACACCAACCACCCTTTTCTGAACCCATAATGCCAAGCACTGATTTATCATCCACCAAGCTTAAACTAAACAAGCCTTAACTTACTCTCGCCCTCGATTTTATCCGTTCCTCTGGTCCAGATAATCTGCCTGGTCTCCAGCTTGACTTGAAACGTCCTTCTCTCGGGCCTCTGGGACTTTTTGGAGTAAAAGAGCGTCAGTACAGTGCCCAGCTCCAGATCCCGGTACAGATTGTTCACCTCGGTGTCGCTCAGCGTCCAGGGTACAGGTCCGTTGGAGGAGAAGCCCGCGGTCGCAGCCATTTCCCCTGTTTGTTCTTCAGTTCCTTTCCCAATAACTCACAGCCTCCCAGGCCTGGTGAGGACACCTATGAAAATAAGGAAGAAAAGGGCATTAGAAACATCACAAAACACCACTATGAAATATTAGCAGCGTATGCAGCATATACATCAGTTATGAAAAAACACAGAGGCCTGCTGTAAGATGCATCCACATGTGTCCATTTAACTTGGAATTACTGGCCTTTTTGGTGGTTATAAAGGCAGATTATGCATTACAGAAATGTCATATGGTGAATGTCTGATATGTATTGGTAATCAACGCATTAAATGCATGGATTATTATTATTATAACATATAAATGAACAACACAGATCATAAGAATCATTGCTTTTAATGTATACCGTAATCAGAAGTCGAGTGCGTGTAAACATTAAATAGAGCTGATCTAATAGTATTTAGTTGAATACAATCAATAAGATCACTTTATACGGATGCAAGCAAACAAACAAAAATCACTGATGCTTATTCATAATAATACTATTAAATACTACACATTTCTAAATTGTTTCAACACACCGATCAGATTTGAAAGGCTACACATGAGCTGCAACAGAAAGATCCGAGCGTGTATATTGTTGATGATGATGATAATAATAACAGGTTTGTTTTGTCTTACCGTGTATGGATGCAGCTGGCTCTCTGGGACTCAGTAAAAGCAGAAGCACAACGTCCAGTCTGTCCGCGATCTCAGCAGCGCTCATGTCGTCCTGTGCTCCTGATCAGACGCGGGTTTGGCGGATCCGAGCGGCGGCGGTGTGAGGTCTGCTCTCCGCCATGAGTGCAAGAGTAAAAGAGCCAGAGCCAGAGCCAGAGCCCTTCCCCCATCAGCCGATCCCTCCAACGCGCAGCGAAGCTCGGCCTCTTAAAGACACAGCGCCGCTCTCCAGACACCGCTGGAGCGGAGCGCTGGCGCAGTGTGGACTGTGTACTCTTCTGTGCTAAGTGTGTGAAATAGTATGCATTATGGCTGTTTGGAATAGTATACTGCATACTTGGAATTGGACACACAGGTGACCTAGGCAACATTAGTGTACTGCTTACTATATGTGTACTGCCTACTATTTTGTTTGAAAGTATGTGAAACACTATTTAGTGTGGTTATGATCAGAATGGAATACTAGTTGCTTATTGCTCAGTATGCACTGTGTACTGCACACTATTTATTAAAGTGTGTTAAATAGTATGCATTATGGCTGTTTGGAATAGTATACTGCATACTATACTTACTATTGCTGACAGTGTGTATATTACCATGTAATTTTCTGTATGAATTGGACACAGGTGACCTAGGCAACATTAGTGTACTGCTTACTATATGTGTACTTCCTACTATTTTGTTTGAAAAGTATGTGAAACACTATTTAGTGTGGTTATGATCAGAATGGAATGTTAGTTGCTCACTGATCAGTATATATTGTATACTACACTTTTACTACACTGCAAAGTGTGTGAAATAATATGCATTATGGCTATTTGGAATAGCATACTACTATTATACCAAATGTGTGCCTTCTACAATATATAATGTGTATACTGCAACTGTATTTGTATTTTCTGTATGAACTGGACACCCAGGGTGACCTAGGCAACATTTGGAATGCATTACTAACTTCTGTGCTAAGTGTGTGAAATAGTATGCATTATGGCTGTTTGGAATAGTATACTGCATACTATACTTACTATTGCTGACAGTGTGTATATTACCATGTAATTTTCTGTATGAATTGGACACAGGTGACCTAGGCAACATTAGTGTACTGCTTACTATATGTGTACTTCCTACTATTTTGTTTGAAAAGTATGTGAAACACTATTTAGTGTGGTTATGATCAGAATGGAATACTAGTTGCTTATTGCTCAGTATGCACTGTGTACTGCACACTATTTATTAAAGTGTGTTAAATAGTATGCATTATGGCTGTTTGGAATAGTATACTGCATACTATACTTACTATTGCTGACAGTGTGTATATTACCATGTAATTTTCTGTATGAATTGGACACAGGTGACCTAGGCAGCATTAGTGTACTGCTTACTATATGTGTACTGCCTACTATTTTGTTTGAAAGTATGTGAAACACTATTTAGTGTGGTTATGATCAGAATGGAATACTAGTTGCTTATTGCTCAGTATGCACTGTGTACTGCACACTATGTATTAAAGTGTGTTAAATAGTATGCATTATTGCTGTTTAGAATAGCATACTACAATACTATACTTGCTATTGTTGACAGTGTGTATATTACACACAGTATTTGAATTTTCTGTATGAATTGGACACACAGGGTGACCTAGGCAACATTTGGGATACATTACTAGTGTACTGCTTACTATATACTGCACAGTGTGCACTGTGTACTGCCTACTATTTTTTGTACAAAGTATGTGAAACTATTTAGTGTGGTTATGTTCAGAATGGAATGTTAGCTGCTTATTGTTCAGTATGCACTGTGTACTGTATACTATTTATTAAAGTGTGTTAAATAGTATGCCTTATGGCTGTTTAGAATAGCATACTACAAAACTGTACTTGCTATTGTTGATAGTGTGTATATTACGCACAGTATTTGAAATTTCTGTATGAATGGGACACACAGGTGACCTAGACAACATTTGGAATGCATTACTAGTGTAATACGTTAGTGTACTGCTTACTATATGTGTACTGCCTACTATTTCATGTAAAACTAATGTGAAACACTATTCTCCGTGGTTATGTTCAGAATGGAATATTAGTTGCTTACTGTTTAGTATATACTGTGTAATGCACACTATTTCTTAAAGTGTGTGAAATAATACACATTATGGCTGTTTTGAATAGCATACTACAATAATACCATACTTATGCCTGCTGCAAAATATAGTGTGTATATTATGCACAGTGTTTGAATTTTCTGTCTGAACTGGATACTCAGGTGACCTAGGCTGTTTGGAATACATTACTAGCGTACTGCTTACTCTATACCACACAGTATGCACTGTATACTGCCTACTATTTTGAACAAAAAGTATGTGAAACTGTTCAGTATGGCTATGTTCAGAATGGAATACTGGTTGATTATTGCTGTGTGTACTATGTACTGCACAGTATTTCTTAAAGTGTTAAATAGTATGCATTATGGTTCTTTGGAATAGTACTGTACTACAATACCAGAATTACTATGGCTGCAATATATAGTGTGTTTATTAAAAAAAGAAGAAAAAAAAAGAGTGCTGAAAAAGGGTTTAGTGTGGTTATGTTCAGAATAGAATACTATTTGCTTATCATTCAATATGTACTGTGTACTGGATACACAGGTGACCTAGACTATTACGTCTGAAATCACATACTCTCTAGTAGGTACTACATATAGTTTGAAACTTTTTTCAGAGAATGAAATCTGGACGTGCTACACCCGCCATGCTGTTACTGTCATGTGACCGGCCAGCATTAGTTGCATTGCTACTTTTTGCCTACTGTTTTTCGAATACCATAAGTTTGGACATACTACTCTTTTGGTGCACTGTTTTTTACATACTATATATTATGTAAGTAGGCATATTCAGACACAGCGTATGCTTGAATACAATACTAGTGTACTGCTTATTATATGCTGCACAGTATGCACTGTGTACTACCTACTATTTTGTGTAAAAAGCATGTGAAACTGTTCAGTATGTACTTTTTTTATGTGAAACAGTATGCAGTGGTTGTGTATAGAGTGAAATTCTAAGACATAAATAAAATAAGTAATTTTGCATTTTTTATTTTATTTAATTTTTTTAAATTTTGGTAGTCTGATCAACGTATTAAAAACTACTTCTGGTTCACTTATACTGGAAATGAAAATCTAGTGATGTGCATTGATTGCATCGTGGCTGCAATGTCATGCAGTGTCATGCACATACTAACAAAACCAAAAAAATGGAATTTGAAAAACCAGGATTAGAAGTTAACACTCGCCACTTCTTCCTTATACGCTTCTCTTGGTCAATAGATTTCTGATTCTGAGGCTCAATTAAAAGCATAAACTTTTCTTCTTTTTTTTTAAGAACAGCATATTCTGCAAATCAAAACTGGTATGCAGCATAATGTGACAGCAGACATACATGCAATTGCACCATGCCCTCATAGGAAGAGGTTATAAACCAAAGCCACAGGTGCAGATCGCTGCCTTCACGGCGCATTCACATGTTCAAAGCACAAGACACGGAGGATGTGGGTACGACTTTAAAACCTTTATTCTAGGCATATAATGTTAATAAACAAATGCTTAAACAAGGAAAACCCTCTTCAGATGAAGTTTTTCTATATTTCTTCAGGAATGTGTAAATCTGTCTTTTTGCTACATAGGGCAGTCTTTTTTTTTACCAAATATTGTTTCATACAAGTACCGAGCATTCTATTTTCATTCACTTCAGTTTCCCGCATTTAAGACCCAATATCATTTAAATTACATATACATTTCTCTGTCATTAAATTACTGTAAACAATGTCTATATAAATCAACAGACTTAAAAATCAATCTTAAACTAAACTTGGCTTACACTATGAGTTAATGTACAGTTAAACTGTCAATAATTACACTGAATACATAACCTTCACAAAAGGACTATGTAACCTGATAATGTCCTACTACACTAATACAAAGCAAAATCAACATTGAAGCTTACATTGTTATACTGCCCAATAAATTACAGAAAAATGTGGTTGTTTAATTGTGTTATTAATCTTGCATATAACATTTACAACAATGTCTGAGCTCTGACCAAGTACCATATGACTTCAGTGTAATTTATGGCCATTCAAAATATACAAAAAAAAAGCAGTCCTACAGAAAGGGCCTTTTTCTCGATTGGTATAAAAATATTTTTTTAAGATAAGTTTTTTCTTACTTAAAGATGGATAAAATGTTAAAAAGCCTAGCTGCTTTTCATTGCTTTTAAAAACTGTAAGCTGAACCTTACAAGACTTCATATTAAAAAGTACATTGCCTAATAGATTTCTATAATTCATCACAGTGGTCAGAAAAATATTTTTCTATTGACAGTGCATATGATGGACTTCTTCATTTATGGATTCATAGATTAAGGAGTTACCAACTGGAATAAACAAGCTTCCATATATACTGGTAACTAGTGCCGCGCAACATATAAATCATTTCCTTTCATGAGAAACTGTAGCACAGCAAATTCTCAGAAATTAAATTTCATAATAAAAAAAACAGGATAATGCTAAACAGGATACACAGTAATAATGGCTATATTTAAAATCATATTCTTTTGGTAAAACAAATTTCTTTGCATACATTAAAAATTAAATGTTCCTCCCTGATAGAAACATTAAAACAACAAAAAAAGAAGGCTATCTTCACATTTTGTTGCAATGCCTCGTCATGACATTGGTGCTTCTGATTGCTTTTCTTTATATGTCAGCTAAAAACTTTTTTTTCTTCTTTAACTCAATTGTATACACAATTTCTCATTTAACATTACTTTCATTAAGGATATCAGGGGTTGCAGTATTTCATTATTTTTTCTATGAAAATATACAATTCATCAATAAATCTGAAGGCTAAAACCAAAGGATACTAACTATCACAGCATGATATGAAACAACTACAGCCTTTCTTGAATAAAGCCATGGTGTTCAGCAAGGCTCAGTATCAGGCCCTCTTCTGTTTTCAATAATGCAGTATGGGTTAAACAAATAACCCCTGAACTCATGTAGACCCTCATTTTCAGAGAAACTACTGGCTTGCTCTGTATTTTTTACATTACCTTGTGCTAAATCGTCTTGATAAACAATTCATCAAAATAATAACAATAAAATAC